ATTGGGAAGATATCAAGGGAAGTGGAATATGTATACCAACTGTAGAAATTAAAAAGAAAAAGTGTGGCATGTAGATTTAAATGAATTATATAGACGGAATACAGTAATCCGTCTGTATAGACCCAGCCTATACTAACGGATTATTAGTAAATTGTTTGTATAAATCTAATATATACTAACAGATATATTTTTCAGTTGGTATAGATTTAATCTATAGTAACGGATATATTTTTCAGTTGGTATAGACCCAATCTATACTAACAGATATGCTTTCAGTTGGTATAGACCCAGTCTATACTAACGAATATATTTTTCTGCGGGTATAGACCGAAGTATACTAACGGATTTCAATCCGTCTATATAGAGTGCCATTAGTAAAGGGCAATTTGCTTGTAGTGACAAACTACAACAATTGGTCAAGTCTATAAAAGACAAAAAGCTAGTGCAAGATGCCAATGCCACTTGGAGTTGGAGGCTAGACGTTAGGGGAAAATATCAGAAGAGTTAATTTTATATTGTATCGGTCGATACGGTTGGTACATATCGATTTTTTATATTGATCGAAACAATATAATATGAAATTTTATTTTGATCAAAATTCAATTAATTCGGTCAAAATTTGATGTACCGGTCAAAATTTTGATGTACCGATCGGTTCATCGAAATTTCAGCTAGTACACACTGGCAAATTAAAAAAAATAAAAATAAAAAAGGATTCCCTAGCCCAAAACGATGTCGTTTTGGGCTAGGGGTTTCTTACAATTGCAATTTTAGATACCGATACACAAAAATCATCCGTACAACTCAATTCTAATTTAAAAAAGTAAATTCCATTTTTGGTCCTTAACTTTAATATTCTACATAATTTTCATCATTTAATTTTTTTATGTACTTTTTTAGTCCATTCTTCATATTTTTTTAATCCTTCTATCAATTATTTTGTTAAATTGATCTAAATATACACATTTTTAGTCCTTTAATTTAAAGAGGATGGACAAAAAATATGCATATATTAAAAGTTGAGGGACTAAAAATGATCATTTTAAACTTGTTTTCAATTTATAAAAATATGATGGTTTTAAATATTTGTATCCTTTATCTTATTTTAAAATTTGATATTTAATTTATAAAAATATATATTTATAACGATAAATCCAAAACGATACGCGAAAAATTTCGGTATTTGGTACGTATGTTCCAGTAACAAAACTAGTATGCATGCCGATACGGTATTGACTCCCTTGGAAAATATACTACAAGATCAGCTTACAAGCAACTTGCAAAGAAAGATGGAAATAGGTTGTTGGATTACAAAAGGCTTTGGGGTGCTCATGTTCCATCAAAAGTGAGTGCTTTTACATGGCAACTACTTCTAGATAGAATTCCTGTAAAGGTTAACTTGACAAGGCATGGGATTATAGAAGTTAACCAAGATATCAACTGTTTTTAGTGTGATTCATCTCCTAAACATACAGATCACCTCTTTATGTCTTACAACATTTCTTTCAAATTATGTTCTTAAGAACACTTGTCTAGACATTTTCACCAAC